CCCCTTCTGCCTCCTTCCTCCATCCACCTCCCTCTCCCAACCCAAAAAAAACCAACCCAGGACATAAACCACAGTAACAACTCACATCACTGTCTGGCGTCTGCTGTTTCTTCAGCGCGGCCATCAGAGGATTCGGTCCCTTCCCAAACATGGACACCGCGCCGGCCGGAAGCTGTGGGACACACACACAAAAACACATGCATAAACACACACGAAAGTGAGAGACAGTGTTTGTATAGATTGTGAAGCGCACAGAGCTTGCTGTTGAGCGGGGGATTTGTGCTACACAAATGCGATCTATTATTAGTATTCACCAGCACAAAAGTAACATTCAGATCTGTTGTAGATACCTGGGTACCTGGAGCTGTCATTTCTCAGCTGGCTCACAGGTCGACGGACAATGACATGACCTTCTGTTGCTTACGGTCACTAGCGGCCTTCATACACTCTGCTATACTTTTACTGCACTTGCAACACAATTAAGACATATAAGAGAGTTCTTGAATCTACGAAAACTGTGCCAACAAAATCAAAATAATATGTATACATCGTGAAGCGCATAGAGCTTGTTGTTGAGCGGGGATTTGCGCTGTACAAATGCTATCTATTATTGTACGCACTTTAAATTTTAAAAATATTTTAAATTCACCAAAAGAAGAAAACACTTTTTGAGCTGTCATGTAGTAAGTCAGTCACCCCACATTGCCACAGATCATTTTATTATAACTTGGGCGCAAAACCAAATAGTGTAACCCCAACACATTGCCATTTCAAAATATTGATCAAATAAAAACTATTCGGATAAATTAGACACAGCTTTCTTTTTCTTTGAGAGCATTTCTTTCTTTCTTTAGTTGCATTTATTAAATTATGATAGCTTTTGCCGTCTTTTAGCGGTCAACGATTCAAAACACCCCAAACTGCTGGCCTGCAATGGTTGTTGGATAAAAAACAGCTCAGGCTCAAGTGAATTTTTTTTAAAAATATAGTAGAGGGTTTTACGGCACTCGCAACTGCATAAGGTCATATGAGCGCCAAAGGGGTGGGTGTCAACAGAGAAGTCTTTACAGGGAATCAGACTTAGACTGCTCACCTCTCTAGCTTCAACAGCACAAGGTCTGCTTCGACTATCAAGGCACCCCGGAAATAACGGGTCACAAGAGAGTGACAAACATACAAAAGAAGTAGAGGAAATGACAATAGTAAGGATCAGGAAAGAAAAAGCAGCAGTTCCCTGTTGTAGATCAGGCACAGTTATGAGCGTGACATGAGTCAGCCCATTTACAATTCTACTGTGCTTGAACGAGAAATGTCCCCCCTAAGGGAATGGCCTAAAGACACTTCAGTCAGTGGCACCGCCCCGGGGGGTTCAAGTGAATTAAATTTCTTTAAGAGATCAGAATGGTAAAAAAAAATAGACGTGCAAGTATTAGAGATAGCCCAAATCGTCACAAAACCTTTCCCACATAACAGAAAAAAGAACATTTACGAAAAGTGGGACTTCCCCGTAAAAGTGGCAGCGAAAAGATTTCGCCAAAAGCCAAAAGCTCTCACCTTCTTTTCTGGAGCTGCTTTTTTCTGCGGCTTATCTTCCACTTTCTTCTCCTCCTCCTCCTCCTCTGCTTCCACGGTGAGTCCTGCGTTACTGTGAGACTTCTTCTTGGTCGCGGGAGCAGAAAAGCCTCCAAACAAATCATCCTCGTCATCATCGTCGGCAAACAGGTCAGACTTGGCCGCAGATTTTGGCTTCTGCGTCAACGCAGCAGTTGGAGCTGAGACATGAGATAAGATGAGACGAGATGAGATGAGATAAGAAAAGATAAGGCAGAACAGGGTAAGAAAAGATATGATAAGAAAAGATAGCATAAGATAGTGTAGTTTCAGTAAGTGTTTTACGGCACTTGCAACACAATAAGGTCATATAAGTTCCAAAGATTAGAGGTGTTACAAGAGAGTAACAAACACAAAAAAGAAGGGGGAGAGAAAAGGACGATAGATGTTTGATAGGAAAGAAGAAGCAAACCACACCAGAGCACCCGCCAACCACCCACCAGCATAAGATAAGATCAGATTTTTTAAAAGAAAGAAACAGGACCTAAATGTGACACCCTCCAACTACCCTTATAAACAATAAACAAAAGACGGAACGAAAAGAATTAGGACAAACCAGTGGCACCCTCCAACCACCCACCTATAAAAGCTACAGATGCCGAGGAAAGGACAAGGGCCGACAGACAAATTGGCAGGACTGAGAAGACTAAAAGGAAAAAAGAGGAAAGCTTTCCTGGGCAATATCTGACCTTGTTTCGCCGCAGCTTTCTTCGGAGCTCCACCGCCGAACAAATCGTCTTCCTCATCATCGTCGTCAAACAGACCTCCCCCTCCTCCTCCGCTGGGTTTAGCGACGGCGGCAGCGGCCGGTTGTGCCGACGGTTTCTTCACCGTGTGAGTGGAGGATTTCTCCACCTTGTTCGAGGCCAGGAAATCATCTACGGAGGAAAAATAGTTTTGTTTTTTTAGTTTTAGTAAGAGTTTTACGGCACTTGCAACACAATCAGGTCATATAAAAGTGCCGAAGATAAGAGGTGTTACAAGAGAGGAACAAACACAAAATAAAAAGAAGGAGGAGAGAGAAGGACGATAGATGTTTGATAAGAAAGAAAGAGCAAACCACACCAGAGCACCCACCAACCACCCACATAGTTTAGTTTTAGTGTTGATTCGTTTAAAGATAAGATAACATAAGATAAATCTTTATTGTCTGGATCTTGGCCCATTGGTTCAGTGTTTCACCACGTACACACACGCAGCACTTGCAACACAAATAGGTCATATAAGTGCTGAAGATTAGAGGTGTTGCAAGAGAGTAACAAACACAAAAAGAAGGAGGAGAGATAAAGAGGATAGATGTGTGATTGGGAAAAAGGAGGAGAGATAAGGACAATAGATGTGTGATTGGGAAGAAGGAGGAGAGATAAGGATGACAGACGTTTGATTGGGAAGAAGGAGGAGAGATAAGGACGATAGATGTTTGATGGGGAAGGAGGAGAGATAAGGACAATAGATGTTTGATTGGGAAGAAGGAAGAGAGATAAGGACAATAGATGTTTGATTGGGAAGAAGGAGGAGAGATAAGGACAATAGATGTTTGATTGGGAAGAAGGAGCAAACCATGTCAGAGCACCTGCCAACCCCCTACTCAAGAACTGTAAAGAGACAACAAGGTCTAAAAATAGAAGTCACGACGAGATTTACCTCCACCACCGAAGATGGAGACGGCTCCTTTGGGCAGCACTTTCCCACTCTTGGTGCGAGGCCGACTGTCTGGTTCTGAAGATAAGATAAGATAAGACAAGATAAGATAAGATAAGACAAGATAAGATAAGATAAGACAAGATAAGATAAGATAAGACAAAACAAATCAAAACAAAAGATGAAATAAGATTAAATAAAATAAGGCAAGATGAGATATGACAAGAAAAGACAAGACAAGATAAGACAAGATTTTACTTTCTTGCCCCTGTGAGAAATTTCCTGAGGCGGTACAGGAATGGTCAAAAACACAGGTAGATATACAAAGAATTTACTTAAGTGCATAATCTCTAATGCATCCAAAGCCCAAACGCAGATGGAAAATAACATTTAATTTGCTGACACGTTTGACAAGTGCACAATGATGCATAAGCCTATACTTTTCATGCACACTCCATTCGGAATACACACAAAATTCTCCGCACCAAAAGCAACATGTGAATCCACAGCCACTTGATCAACAAAAGTAGACAAATTTCCAGCATTCCGCTCGGCAAAAGAAAAATTAGGGGGAAAAAAAGTGGTAAACAAAACATTGACACAGCAAAACAATGCCAAACGTATCAACAGCTTTGGTCACAAAGTGGACAACTCCACAAAAGCTCATTTTATAGGAGACAACTGTAACTGAGTAAATAAATGCTGCCTCTTCAATAACCTAATAGTGTTGATAGAGGTGTTTTTTTTAACCTACACCATTTTCACATTAATTGATTAAAAGAAGAGTTGAAGTATTTACTCAACACATTTGTTTCACTTCAAGGGATCTGAAAAAAACAAAAACAGTCTTTTCTGTGAGACATCCTGTTTTCCGAACCAAGTGGAAAAAAAACAACACAAAAAAGCAAATTTTGGAATGACAGATTTTGCTAACTTTGCTGCTAAACCATCAACACACACATTTCAAATTCTCACACCATGCAAATAACCAGGTGGAAAATTACAGGGATGATAAATTTAAAAAATCAAAAAACAAAACTAAGTTTTTTAAATTAAAAAATTGAAAAATCAAAACTGTCTGCAGACTCACTTTCTTTCTCCTCCTCTTCCTCCTCGTCCTCATCATTAAATAGGCCATCCTCCTTATCTTTCGTCGCTGCTCTGCCTTTCGAGGCCACTGGTTTTTCAATATCATCAAAGAGACCGCCCTAAGGGGAAATCAAAACAGGACTAAGCAAAAGCAGAAAAAAAAGGAAAAAAAATTCAACCAAAAGTGATCATGCAACTGGGTTTTTTTTTAAAGCGCATGTCAAGGCCAGCTACCTTTGAAATGTTCCACAGCTTCAGGTTAACAATAACGGCAATCATATAGCGCATGTCCACGCTCTACAGCAAGCTCTATGCGCTTTACAACTATTATTGCCCCAGCAAACCCTAGAACACTCAGAAACATTCTCAGCTTCCCGGTAAGCCTACAGTGCAAGCTGCAAATTTCACACACTCAAACATTCACAAACTGACTAGATCTTTCGCTGTCTATAGCCGGGTAAGCTACCCATTCACATCTGGACAAAGTGAGAAAATTTTGTGTAAAGTGCTTTTCCCAAAGACACAACGTTGGGCCCTTGGCGGAATTCGAATCCATGACTAATCGCTGCGCGTCCGAGAGCCTAACTACGAGGTCACTGATGCCACACTTTTGAAGGGCTCAGACGCCACAATTTTGAAGGGCTCAGACACTGGCTTCCTAATTATTGCATAAACAAATGAGGACAAGATAATCTTCAAGCCAAAGTCAGTGCAGTTAAGAAAAACCAAAGCATGCACAAACGGCAGGCGTCATCGGAGAAGAAACAAGGTCACATGACTGAGAATCTCATTCAAAAGCTCATGACGTCTCATGCAGTATTCGTAGAAGAAATTCAATCATCCAAGGGTTTTTTGGGTTTTTTAATGTAAGTATTTTAACACCCCCAACAACCCTTTCCCGACATCGTTTTATAGATCAAGGAAAACGTTCAAATGTTAAGACAGGACTCCAGAAAGACTTTAACTTAAAAGTTGGAGAGTGTAGCAAATATTAGCTCGTCACAGAAAATTCCCCACAAGGACAATAAAATATTCTCTTATCTTATCTGAATTCAGTATTCAAACTTTGTTTATAGTCATAGCCAAGAGGAAATGTCATTTATGCCCCTATCAAAGTGAGTAACATTGTTCTGGCCACAGCAACCACATGCTTATTTCCATCATACAAAATTCTACATCTGCACTGAAATCAGACTTCACAGAGTAGGGAGAATCTATACTACTCTTTTTATCAAACGTTAAGGGTCGGATTGGGGGGGGGGTATTTTTATTTTCCTCAACATCACTATGAAGAGAATTGTTAAAACAGCAAACAAACAAATACATTGGCAAAGCATTTGACTTGACGCATGCTATTAGGTAAATTTTAAAACCCATCCTTCTCTGTTTCGGACGAATGAATTAAACTGTAAAACAAAGTCACCAATCAGACAACCTCTCACTCAGTCTTCCTCCAAAAAAATTCCACCACTCATCTTTTTTTTCTCTTCAAATTTAGGTGTTTGTTGCACCCGGCACCCCCTTTGACAGGATTTAAATCCTTTAGGAGGTGGGCTTCCAACCCTGGCTGGCTGTCAGGGCCAACCTAAGCTGAGAGGGATACAACATCTCAGCAGAAAGATTGAGACACCTGATAAAAAATGTCTCCATACTCAGGAATCGAACTCCGGTGGCCTAGCTGCTACACCCCAGACACAGATCCACCCATCACAAACATGTACAAGACAACGCGAAGAAAGAAATGCCTAGGAGCAAAAATCGTAACAAAAACTTGAACCAAGTAGTCTGCTTCTATTTTTTTTTTAACACGACAAAAAAAAAAAAAAAAACCACTTCACATGATTTTCATCTCAGGTGATGGCCAAAGATAAGCAAGACGTACTAAATACACTTGAGTCTCAATTCAACGACCATGCAGTATGATAACGGCAACATACTTTTTTTTTTTAGTGTGCAGTCTTAAGATTCCGAACCCTATAGCCTACCAAGGCTGACGTGCACACAACAGCAAACACATGAACAGACAAACGTTTAAACCATTCTGATTTATCAACTGAGTTTTATCAATAACAAGATATGAAGAAAATACAGGAGGCAAATTTCAGACAAAACAATTATTTTTAGTCATTTTTGTTTCAATATTAGTAAAGAGTTTTACGGTACTTGCAACACAAATAGGTCATATAAATGCCCAAGGTTATTGGAGTGTTTAGAGAGTAACATACAAAGGAAAGAAGGAGGAAAGATAATGACGATAGATGTTAGAAAGGAAAGAAGGAGCAAACCACACCGGAGCACCAACCGCCAAACACCCACTTTTTTGGTTTGGATCAGAAATAACAAAACTTTTCTTTCAGGGGAAGAGATAAGGACGACAGATGTTTGATATAAGCCAAGGAGCAAACCACAACAAAGCACCAACAAACCACCCACCATTTAATTTTTATTTATTTAATTTAATTTTTTTTTTGGGGGGGGGGAGAGCCAGAAATAACAAACTATACGACAAAAGCCATGTACATAAGTTTGTGAACGTTTCTCGGAGCGCCCGAGAATTCAGGCGAGCCTCACCTCATCATCGTTGTCGTCGTCGAACAATCCCTTGCTGCTGGAGAACAGCCCGCCGCCCTTTGAGAAAGGCGAGTCCTCGTCCTCGTACCGCTCGCTCTGACCAAACAAATCCGCCTCTGCAGCGACAAACAAACAAACAAATCACACCGTTAAACCCACGATCGGACATTCAGAGCCCAGGTCCCCTCTGTGCTACAATATAGCGCCTTAACTGTTACACCACAAACGCCGTTGAAGAGAGATGAGAAACTAGACAAAAATGTTTCCAGCCTATAAAATTATCACAGATCTCCACAGGCTCCTCGGAGACTGTTACTGCCATCATCATCATTATCATCACCTCAGCACCATCATCATAATCAATCATCACCACCAGCACCATTATCATCACCACCAAAATCATCATCATTATCATCCCAAGCAAAATCATCATTTTCATTATCATCACCACCATCACCAACACCATCAACATCATCACCACCACCATCATTGTCACCACCACCACCATCCCCACCACCACCATCCCCACCACCACCACATCTCACCTTCATCCTCCACATCTCACCACCATCATCATCACCACCACCACCATCATCACATCTCACCTTCATCCTCCACATCTCACCATCATCATTGTCACCACCATCCCCACCACCACCACATCTCACCACCATCATCATCACCACCACCACCATCATCATCACATCTCACCTTCATCCTCCACATCTCACCACCATCATCATCACCACCACCACCACCATCATCACATCTCACCTTCATCCTCCACATCTCACCACCATCATCATCACCAC